TATTTATTTTTTGTATTTTAGGGAAGGGTCTACAGGGTGTTCATGGTCTCACTACTAGATCAGATTCATAGTGATCCCCCTGTTTACAGCCTCCCAAGAACTGGGATTACAGGTATGTGCCACCAAGCCCAGTCTGTTTTTACTTTTGAAAATAAAATTAAACTGAAAAAAAGAAAGAAAGGAAACAAACCTTGTAAATGACAAAGGTAACCCTGTGATAATCAATAAACTTATTCAGTTTCTTTCCTAACCCTCCAGGATAAGTTCAGTAAAGAATTTTTTTTTTTTTTTAAAGAACACTGAGGATACTTGTCCAGCACATTTGTTTTTAGAATAACGCTAGAGGAAGCTAAGCTCTTGAGGGGGAAATGCTCTGCCGTCAGATCTGATCATCAGTTAGAAAGATCATGAGTCCAGTCGCACAACGCATCTCCTAACTGATTTAGAGGACACACTCAGAAGGCCCCTCCGTGACAAGTAGGCTAAGAGCTCTGGCAGGCGGCACGCAAGTTAGCACGACAGTGGCCAGCGGTGCTTGTGCTGAGCAACAAAATGTTCAACATGGAGGCACAACCGGTGTCCACAAGGCAAAGCAAATAACTCCTTTTTTTTTTTCTTTCGGTGTTGGGAATTGAACTCAGGACCTCTGTGCCACTGAGCTGTATATCCCTGGCCCAAATTAACTGCATTTTACATAAGTTGCATGGCTTAAAATTTCGAGAAAGAGGATTACATTTCTTCCAATGGCAGACAAGACTCCTAAGAAGAGAGAGTTCAAGGGTTCTGAGACATACCCAAGGTGGCCCGAGGTTTCCGAGGCTGACTGCTGGGTGAGGAGCTCCTCCCCGCGGCTGGCCACCGACTGGAGGAGGCTCTTCTGCTCCGCTAACTCTTGCTCCAGTTCCTGCCCAAGATAAAGGAAACATGCAAACATCTCTGTCGCTTCTCAGTAATTGTCCACAATCACGGTTCTGTGTCTAACAAATTCTCCGAGAACTTTGGTAGTAAGATCTGCATTCATACCTTATAGAAAAGGTGTAGTTAGATATGCAAACATGCTTTTGAAGTTCTCTAAAGCTTTCTTTTGCCTTGGTAAAGAAATCTGAAAAACCTGGGGGTGGGGGTGGGGGAAAAAAAGTGAGAAAAGAAAGTTTCGCTGGGCAATGGTGCCCTCAAGTGGTACAAAATGTACTCTGATTTTTCAAAAGTCAATTGCATCGGGGCTGGAGAGATGGCTCAGTGGTCTAAAGCACCTACTTGGAACAAGCTTGGCAAAGCGCAGGGACCGCGGTTCAATCCCCCCAGCACCACATGCCAGCCAGCCCCTCCCCCTGGTGGGCTGAGCTGGCCACACACACACACACACACACACTAAATGCAAAATAAATAAAATAAAATAAATTTAAAAGTCAATTGCACCAACCAGGACACCCTTGCAAGCAGCTGCCTCTGTGCTTCTTCCTTACTTTATAAATCAGTTTCAACTGGTTTGTTTGTACCTTTTCATTCATTATCTGTAGCTCATGTGTTTGCTCCTGAGGAAAACAAGGCCTTTCATGTGTCTTTTACACAGAGTTAAGGCGTCAAAGAAAAATATGAATGAAAACTCATTTGTTCTTCTTGGGAGCATCTTACAGTTCTGTTTTGTGACAGAGCTCCCTTGATAGTAACCAGCTGCACTACTCTAAAAAGAACGTGTAGCTCAGCCTTTCCCCAATTCTCAGGGCGTGTGTGAGATTTGACTGATTGATTGATTGATGCAGGGGATTAAATGAAGGCCCTCTTGCATGCAAGGCCAGCTAGCACCTTACCACTGAGCTACACCCTCAGCCCCAAGTTTATTATAAGGAAATAGGCCCAGATGAAGGCAAATCTGAAAGTAGAAGAGGTTTTTTTTGACATGAATGAGGTAACAGGGTTATGCTGGTGGTAAATTAAATACAAATTATTTCTTAAAAAGCCTGGACTTTTTTTCCTTTATTTAATTTTCAAAGACAATGATTTTTACATTTAGGTATATATAATGATCATGTTCCTCATAGGGAATTAGTACCAGTGTGATATGACTTGACTCTTGTTTTCCTACTTCCCCTTCCCTCCCTGTAATGACCCCAGAGGTCATGAGTAAGCAGTGCCCTGCAAGGGGACAGCACAGCCCGCTTCATACAAAGTGAAGCTAAAAGGGACAGTTGGTTACAAAGCACTGTGTCCTCCAGGGCCATTTCCCCGAGTCCCTGCCAGGCAGGCCTGCAGGCTGGTGCACTTACTTTCTGCTGTTGGAGGCTGCTCTGGCGCTGGTGGGTCCGCGTGGTGCGAGCTTGCACCAGCCACTCTTGCAGGCCTGGGCTCTGCGCGGCTGTGAGGTCGGGGTCACTCTCCTCCTTCTCTTGGGCACCTCCCTGCTTTTAATGAGGCAGAAATCAAGAATCAGACTGTCAGGCTGCTCACAGGAAAAGCTTAACCAGAGTGGAAGGAAAATGCTTCTACTGAGGTCTGTCCAGTAACACCGAAGTGGCTCCATCCAGAGGCAAAGCCACACTTTAAAAAAGATGGTGGCATGAAACCCGAGATACAGCATTTTCAGGATTGAGAGTAATAAACAGATGATTATGCTCAGAAATATTTGAGGGGGAAACCCATCTATTTCTAGTAGGTTGCCAGGTATTATTCTAGAGTTATTCCACAAAAATAATGCTAGAGCCTTTTACCAGTTAACTTTCACAGTCATACAAAGGAACAAATATTACTCAAACAATCGATATGTTAGTCTTTCTCCTACAAAAGCATTATGGCCACCTTCTCTACTCAGGTCACACAGTAGATACCAGATAGGCTCAGGGCAAGTACTTGCTTCCCAGAGATGCTTCTGGAAAGCTCCTAACTGAAGAGATCGCAATGTCTTTGAAAAGCACTAAGTCCTTGGTGCTGTGAGCCAGGCACCTTCTAGAATTCAGGAAGAAGAAAATTCACTGTATCCCTACAGGCAAAGGGCCCAACC